TCACTGTCTTTCATACCTAGGGAAGTGATTCTTTCCCCAAATGATTCTTTCTTCAATACTTGCTGCTTCAATGAATATGTAAGTGTTCACAGCCTCTACTGTGCAAAGCTCAACAGCTTCATGCGTTTACAACCCTTGAGAGCTTGGGGTCTCAGTAACAGATGAGGTAAATTCCCTTGCAACATGTAAGAGAATGATTGGGTTTGTACTTGCATAGTTACAAAAGTTCTGAGCATTGAGAGCACTCAGCATTACTACTGATCCTAGAAGCAGACATAGGTCCAAGTCCTGTTCTTTTCTCTTTTATAATGACAAAGTATCCTTAAATTTGCTTTCTTCTTAGAGACTTGAATCTTTTCCTAGTGGCTTGCCCCTCCAGGGTATTTTTGTAATCTTCTTCTCTTTCCTTCCCTCCCTCTTCACCCCTTTTTCTCCTTCTTTCTTTTTTCCCTTCATTCCCTCTACTTCTTTTCTTCTATCCCTTCTTCCTTCTCTCTCCCTCTTTCTTTCCTTCTCACTCTGTTTTATAAGCATTCCCATGGGGGTTGCTATTCTCAGAGCCTATTGGTGAACCTCTAGGACATGACCCTGTTCAGGAAACAAAATGTTCTAGTATATTGGCCTTTAGCCAACGGCTAAACAGGAAACATCAAATTCTAACAAGAAAAGTGAAGGAAGACGATCGAGGGCTAGGGAGTAGCTCAGTGGTTGCCTATCAGGCATGAGGCCCTGGGTTTGATCTTCAGCACAAACTTTCTAGTACCCTGGATTTTTAAATTCAGTCGCCAGTAGGGGCAGTCTCAGACCACAACTTGCATTCAGGAAGAATCTGGAGCCTAGATTAACCATCCTTAGATGAAGTTTAATTACTGAGAATTAGAGGACAAAAAAGGTATTGTTGAACCAGTAAACAATATCACAAGAATAGAAAAGAGTGAAGAATGTGACAATGCATTTTTCTCTGGTGACAACTGTGAAGATACTTTCCCCCTAACTTGTGACCTAAGGAAAAACAAATTTTTATCCCATTTTACATATTGTTTGGACTACAAGAGACAGTATAGTAACCACACAGAGTATTAAAATCAAATCTAAGGATTTACAGAACAATGGCACAACTACCCACTCTGCCATTTCAAAGTGACCAGAACATCAAAAAGATGCCATCTGTGGAATTTGATGGCTGCAGAACAGTGAGTCACCCACTCCAAGTGAATCCTGAACATCCCTAGCAAGACACTCTTGAAATGAGGATTGGGTTTTCTTTCTTCCTCTGTTGGATGAGGACAAGATTTTGGACTGTGCAGCAGAATGCCAGGATTATAGGAGAGGATTATAGGAAGAATAAGAGCAATTCTCCTGGGATCTGTTTTACTTATATGATAAAGGAGTTCAAAGGTTTTAGTAAAAACCAACAATGCTGCCCAGACTTGGGGGAGGGGTAGTGTTTAATAAGGAACGTTTGGCCTAACTGCTGAGGAGGCATTTGACATGCCTTAGATTGGGTCCCACATCAGACAGACTGGTTCTTCATGGAAATAACTAGACTCTACTATTCCCACAGCTCTTTCTTAAAAGGAAATTTTCCCTCAACTTCTCTGCGCCAGAATGCACACTATCTTAAGGGAGAGCATATCCTTCCCAAGAGTTACAGCTGCAAACTAGGAAGAGAACAGGAACAGGGTGAATAGAACAGTTAAAGCTGTAACAAGGAACAGAAAAGGGAGGTAGTAGATCTGCCAAACATATCCATGGACAGCACTGTAGAGAATGACTGCTCGATTTCTCTGGCACATTGGGTCTGATCTCTACCCTGGGCACCTAGCCAAGAGGCTGCAGAATGGATAGCAGTGGACAGAAGGTCATTGGGAAAGAGCAGATAGACATGTATGGGATAGGAAAGTGCAAGGTTAGATGGCTGTAATCTGGTCTGAAGCAAACCAAGACTGTCCATCCATCTGTTTCTACAGTGGGACAAATTGCAGAGTTCTAGAAATAACTTGAAGGAAGAACCCAAAAGAGGCTGGTCACAATGTCAAAAGTCAAGCTGCTCACCAGAGAGATGGCCACAGGGTGCATTAGGTTCTTAGGCCTTTTATCCTTTGAAGATAGAGCTGCCAACTTCTGCCAGTACCAGTAGAGAAATAAAAGGGTGGACAGGTGGCAAATTCCAGAGCTTGTAGCCATGGTACTTGTAGCCAGATTCAGATAGCAATTGCTTGCCCTTTTCCAGCTTCTCAATCCCTGTTCAGCCTTGTGAAGCTTAAAAAATGTATGCTGTCCTCAAGGGAGCCATGAACAGAAGCAGTATATGGAATTTATTTTTCTTTTTCTAAGTGGAAAGGGGTGCCTTACTACAATACCTAGGACTATTCAAGCATCAGTGTATTAGGGTTGTTGGTCTTTCAACCTTCGCACCACAAACATTACCTATGAGAGAAGTACTACCTACCTCCCTGCCCACAGGCCCCAGTCCAACTCAGGGGTACTAGACACACTTCTGCATGACCCTGGTAAGAATCACCCTCAGAATGCCATTCCTACGCACTGAGTCTATGTCCCTTCCTCCCACCATCAAAGCTGGCCTTCTCAGATCCAGAAATCAAGAACAAAACTCATTTGACATAAAAGTTCTTGTGGTGTTACATCTTATATGTCAGTCCATTCAGAGCCACTGCACACTAGACCAGTATCCACTATCTGTGGACAAGATGCAGGAAAATGATTCTTTGGAAAGGGAACTCTAACTGCCCTCTCCTTCCTTACCCATTTATCTTAAATTCCCCACTCAGAAGTTAGAGAACAGAACTGTTCTCTTCTTCTCTCCTTTAAGCCTGATTAGAGTTGAACCTTAAGAAAGATCAGCATGGTTAGGAAAGGAAGACCTGATTAGTTCACAGATTTATGCTAGCCTCTCATGTTGACATCCTAGCATAGGAGAGCCTGAGGCTCTCTGGGGTGACACTGTTTTTTTCTCTTTTCAGGTCTCAGCCTGATGCCTTTAGTTTCCATTGCCAAACAGTTGTAGTTTGGGTGACACCTGCCTCTTTAACTCAGCTGACAGGATAGGAAGGCCAGGGGCCAAGGCTAAAAGTCAAGGTCTCCTAGGAGAGTTGTTACTGAGGCACAAACACCCAGCAGCCTGTCTGTGCTTTGCGCTTAGCTTGCTCTTCCCCTGGGACTGGCTCACCTCTGCGAGTAGGGTCGCCCGCACACTCCTCTGGGGAAGGGGATTCCATGCAGGGGAGAGGAGTGGCCGATATCTGTGTGGTGATGGGTAGAAACTCCCCTTTGGGAGTGTGATGAGTCTATAGTGGAAGGAGACCTCCAGCCAACTGTAACAAGGGGGATCCCCAGGGTTCCCAGAGGGACCCCAAGGGGAAGTTCCTTTATTAAAGTGGAAAGAGGGCCTGGGGAGGAGGTCAGGCAAGGTGGAGCTCTAATTCTCCCAGCACCCTGGCTTCTTGCCTGCTTTCCTCCGACGAAATGCTCTACATCATCCTCCTCGGTTCCAGCCCCTCCCCTCCCCACCCCGCCCCGCCCCGCCCGGTGCCCATCCCTGCTGGCCACTGGGTCCATCGCCCAGGAGCCGCCTCCCCTTTCTCCTCCCCTGCGGTTCTTTCTGTTTTTCGTTGGCATCTGGCCGGGCATAGCAACCACCCTCCTTCCAGCTCTCCCCACTTCCCTTTTTGCTCGCTGAGGTCCTGTTCCCGCGTCCCCTCCCCCACCCCAGCCCACCTCCAAAGGAGGAGGAGGGAGAGGGGAGGACAAGGGGGGGGTGGATGCATTCCTTCAGTCCCTTCGCAGACAGCCCTCTGGGGACCCGGAGCTTCGAGCTAGGGCTCCATTCCTGGTCTCCCCGACAGTCTGCCCCATATGCCGCCCCATTACCCGCCAGCAGCCTTCTCAAAGGCGAAGGTGCCGCCACAGCGCTGACCTACATAGCCTGGCCTGGGGAGGGGCGTGGGGGGGCGCTTCCCCAAGCCCCCTCAGCCCGGCCCCGCCTCCCGCCCTCCCCCCACTCCCTTCCTCTCGACCAATACAAACCCAAGAAGGGTTGAGTTGCAGACTGGAAGCAAAGGAGGTTAGGTCTGCTACCCCACCCCAAATGTGAAGAAATGAATGTTCAGCCTCAGGAAAGCTTCAGGTTGCCCATGTGTCTCCCTCCCCAAATACCTTAAGCTTCCTTTTAGCCCAATCTGCACCCCTTCCCTCTCCCACTGGGTTTCTCTTAGATTTTGCCACCTATAGGGGGTTCATCTAAACTGGGGGGTCCCTCCGCCCTGTGTTGTTGTTTTGCTTCCAAGAGAAGCCCCCTTCTTTGCCCACGCCCCCCTCGACAGCCTCACCCAAGCTCCCTTCGCTGCCCACTCGGGGCTCCGCCGCGCGCGGGTGGAGGACGGGCGAGCGGGGGAGCAGAAATGTTTGCATACAGCAGTTTGGGGGGACTGCTGGCTACCCAGCCTCTACAGACAGACAGACACAAACACCCGACACACGCCCTGACAGAAACAGCGACACATCTCACTCCGCCCCCAACACACACCGACATAGACATACACACAGATACTGATACAGACACCAACACAGACGCGCACACCCAGACAGACAGACACACACACAAACACACACATGCACACGCGCACGCACGCACGCACGCACTCACGGACATCAACACATCCAGACCCCGGCGGCTGTTCATAATAGACATCAACCCTGAGAGAACCAGACTTCTGGTGCACGCGCGCGCGCGCGCGCACACACACACACACACACACACACAAGCGCGCGCAAGAGCACGCGCACAACCGACGGTGCACACCGGAGGGTGCACACCCCGGCACACCCCACGGTCCTCAGAGACAGACACAAGGGTATTCCAGCGGCTGGAGACTTGAATCCCCCGGTTCCAAACAAAGCCAACCGGCTCCCCGGCGCCCACCCGCGCCCGGGTCCGATCCCTCCCCGCCGCCCCTGGCGCCGCCCCCTCCCGCACTCACCGTCCTGGGAGAGGTTGGCCCCGCCGGGCGCCCAGCGGCTGGCGAGGAGCAGGAGCAGGGGCAGGGCGGAGGGAGCCCCCATCGCGCTTCCCGGCCGGCTCCCTGGCTGGGCGCTGGCGAGGGTCTCCAGGGGCTGGGGCTGGGGAGACGGGAGGGGGGCGGGGGGAGACGATGTCGCTGTCCAAAAGGGCGCCCCCGAGCCGCTTCCAAGCCCGGGGCCGAGGCGGGGACCGGGAGGGAGCCGGAGCTGCTGCAGTCGCGGGGATTAAATAGGGCGCTCGGAGCAAACCATTCGGTTGGAGGCGGAGGGGGGGTGGCGGGGGGCTGGGCTGGTCGCGGGGGGGACCAGCTGCCGCATTCCCCACTCCCCCCCTGCCTCCCACACCCTCTCCGCACATTCATGGTGCCTTCCACCTTCTCCCCCGGGAGCTCCGCCAGCGCGGCTCGGGTGTGGAGCCCCGGGAGGGAGCTGGCTCAGCCGTGGGACCCCGTGCGCACCCCTCTTCGGCTTGGGGTGAAGGGAGGCATTTGGGCAGGGCGGTGGGCCAGCTGGCGCGAGTGGCCACTGCAGGCCCGGGCAAGGGTGTGTCTGCTAGCCGGAGATCTTCCAGCCCCGCCTTCTCCTTAGGCAACTGGGGATCCCCCCAAACTCGTGTCCCATTCCTACCAACAATAACGGGCCCGGGGGTATGTCCCTAGTGGGTAACTAGTTACCCTTACCATTTTCCTAAAACAGGAATGGACCCAGTTCCTCTGACTCCAGGGATCTGGCCAGCAACAATTTGTGGCCCCAGATGTTCTCCCTTGAAAAGCATCTTCCAGCAGACATCCTCACCACCCCGCCCGCCCAGAAGCAATCTCTCCCTCTCATTAGATCCTCTGTCAAAGAATTATCTTAGACTCTAGCCCCCCAAACATCCTATAAAGCAACTTAGTTTCTTTTTCACTAACTCTTCTTTACATTCCTTTCCTTCCCCCCACATATGTATGTGTGTGTGCATACATACATACATACATATATATGTATTTATTTTGCTTAGACTTCCAGATGATCTTGTCTTTCTTTCTCGAGTTTTAGTTAAGATTCCTGGGGAAATGTCAGATCCACAGACCCTCTTAATGTGCTTGTGACTAATGCAGCTCATATCCCTGAGGCTAGATAGAAGATGGATGAGAGAGGCCAGGGGTGTTTGCACTTGCTCTTGGCTCAAGAGTCCCAAGTCCCTAGTGTTTGCTGTTCTTTATGATTGAATGTCAGCAGGAAGTGTTCTGTTTGGTAGTCTTAGAAAAGGATCTGAGTTCATTTTCTTGAAACTTATCGTTAGGGAATAAGTTTCTAAGTTTTAGAATCCTAGAATAAAAGACATTTCAATATATGGAAAGTTTTTAGAAAATATTTAATTGAACCCTTTAATTATATGGGTGCAACTGAGCTACCCCAGGTATGAGAGTTAGGGGCAGAAGACCAGTGTCAGGTAGGGCATGAAACAGTGAGGTTTTACATGCTCATCCAATCCTTTGAGATTCATGTTTTGCCCTAGATGGGAAATTTGGATGACAGCCTCATAAAACCTGGGCCAGTTCCTTCCTGTGTTGGTGATTGTGCCACCTACCCAGTGCTAATGCTTAAAGTTCAGATACTCTTGTCTTCTTGAAGACAAGGTTTCCTTACTTTCAGTGGTAGTGACCATGTCTCCATTACCAAGGACCTCAAAGACAAAGATGTGGAAAATATTTTATAATGGTGATTTTATAATGGTTATTTTACAATGGTGATTCCTAGTATGAATGATAATGATGGAGAAGTAGAAAGAAAACATTCTTCCATGAGATCTTTTAGAATAGTCAGGATAGTGTCTTACTGTTTTTGTTTAGAGTTTCTGGAGAAGAACTCTGACTACCCTTTTTACATTTCTTGAAGGCTTGAGTAGCTATTTCTTGGCCTTCTTCAGCTGTTTGAGTTACCTGATTTGACTTATCTCAGTTAGCTTTCTGGGATTCCCTGCCATCTTGCAATCTCTGAGAAGGGACAGTGGAGGGGGGTATTCGGATCATAATGTAAGGGAAACAGAGACCTCGATATAAAGGAAAGACGACACTGGGCTGGAGAGTAGGGTCAAGAGAGAGGTGAGGGGAATATTTCTGACACAGATGGTATGAGTTTGGCATGAGGCTAGTCATGCTGACAGAAGGCATGGAAGCAGTAGGGTTTTTTTGTTTTTGTTTTTTTTTTAAGATCCCCTTCAGTAGGAAGGATCAGGCTCTTCTAGTAAATGAGTCTTGATGGATAAAGAGCATTATGTTTGGAGCTAATAGCTGAACCCTTAGAAATCATCTGAGTAGGATTAAGAGAGGATAGGTTATGGGAAGTGTGCAAGTGGGGATGGGTGAGCTGTAGGACAGGATGTGGGATTAAGTCCTCGAAGTCCTCTAATCATCCCTTCCATCTGCTGTTCCCCAGTGATCCTCTTCTGCCTGCCCCCCTTTAATTCAGTAAGGATTGTTTGGTCTGGGCCCTACCCTGTCATGTCACCGTTTGGAAAGTTATCAAGGGCAGAAAGGAAGGAGGGAAACTGTTTTGGAAACTATTAAGGCTAGCAAATGAGACTGTGGAATGAATGCTCTTTTCCTACTGGCTCCTCTCCCCTCTTCTGCATCATCAGCATCAGTTTGGCAGCAAGTTAGGTCCTGGGAATAGGAAACAGTCATTGGCTTTTAGAATTATAGAATAAAAGAGTACTAGATTTGTAAGGACTTTCAGGATTATCTAACTACTAACAGACCCCATTGAACAGATAAGGAAAAGTTCAGATTTGCGGTGACTTGCTCTGTTACCAGTACTGGATAGGTGGGGCAGATAGTACCCTTTGGAGGCAAGAAGGGTATGAAGGAGAATAGTTTCAAGTATTTTTGAGCAAAGTGCAGTTTGAGGAATTCCTCACTCCTTGTGAATCTCAGATTAGGAATGTTTCTTCTACAGAATATGGCTGTCCCATTTGGAATTACTCCTCGCTTATATGCCTTCTACAAGAATTCTCTCCATGAAAAGACAGATTAAATGAAAGGATCCCTGTTTATTTTGATGGTTACTTTCCCCTCCAAAATGCCTGGGCCCAAAATATGTATTTCCCAGAGATTCGTACAAAGTCTGGAGTAGGTTGTTAGTGGGATTACAGAAGAACTGGCAGCTTTCGTAGCAGTGGGGGAGGGGAGGCAGAGAAGGGGAGTGGAGAAAAGGCGGATTTGGCCTCCTGGATGCCCCTGTCCACTCAGCAACAGCCTGGATAGCTGGGGGTGTGGAATGTGGTGCTGGCACCGGTGCTGGGCTAGACACAGCTGTGTGGGCCCTGGGCATTCCTTTCCCCACGCAGCTTCTGCTGAGAGGGGAGGGAAGGAACTCGGCCTCTGTGGGGTGAATTTTCCATATTCATCTGGAGAGGGTTGAGTGCACCTGTGGGAAAAACCTCAAGAGACTCAGCCCCCTTTAGATCTTGCTTTACACTGGTCCCCTTCTATTCCATAGGACTTTTGATTATCAGGAGGTTCCCACATTGCTTCTTCAATTTTCCACCCAACTAAACCAGTATTCTTCATACTGCTGCCTACTTCTATTAGCCAGCTTTAATTAACACCATCCTTAATAATAACCCAAGTACGTATTTTAATTCTAACCATAATTGGATTCTAATTTCAATCCTAACCTTAATCTATTACAGATTCTAATTACCAATCCTTATACCAACCACAATATTATTGCCATTTTAGCCAGCACCTTAATTTCAACCAGTTTTAAACCAGTAACTTGTGTACAATAGCACACGATAACGGGTTGTATTTGTTGAGAACTCATCTTGTAACTGGGTACTTGTGCTGGGTACTTTTCATACACAGTACCTCTTATAAATAGCAGAAGTAACACTAGTAGAACTGAGACTCTTAGTTCACTTACTACTATAGGCAAGGGAGCAAAGTTATGATACAATTATGTAATTTGCATAGAGTGGATCTGAATCTAGATTGACTTGACCTATAAGTCTACACTCACTCCTCTGAACTTCCTACAAGTGTTTTTTTTTCCTTTTTGCATATTTCATCTCACATTTTGCATTTTATTTAGTATTTTATTCTAATATCTTAATACCGACTGGAATAACTTCTAAAGTTTTTAAACTTCTAACTTCTAAATTATTATTGGTTTTCTTAAAACAAAAACTGTAATGGCATAAAATAGGTATAACAAACAAAAAGCTCCAGATCTTCCTGACTAGAAACCCCACTGACAATTCAAAACATTAATTTATTGATAAAACGTTTGAACTATAGAAAGGAAGACACTGCAGAGCAAAGCCTCCTCTCCTTTCCAGAGTAGCCATATTGCACAACCCCAGGGGGCATCACTGTGATTGGAGCTGTGCAGTGTGGCAGCACCACCTCCCACAGCTTTCCAGAAAAGCAGATGAAGTCAAGGTAAATAGCTACCAAATTAAATCACCCTATGTATGTATATGACTTAGGCATGGCAATCAGCCACGCTTTGAATTTATAATTAGCAATAACTATTCAGGGATGGACTCTGCTAAGGGCTTTGTATTTCTTGTGCATTTTAATATTCACAGGCTCTCTGTGCAGGGTGCATTACCCCTGTTACAGATGAGAACATTGAGGCTCAAGAAGGCAGGATGGCCGGCATAGGAGGAATGGGAGTTCCAGGCTCCAAAGCCTACACATTAAACCACTGCACTTAGCCAGGGAGGCTTTTCAAGGAAGAGGTCATTTGTGTTTGGTTCTGAAGGTGAGAAGGGGAGTTGCTTGATATTAGATAAGAGGATGACCTATGAGGCTGAAGATGGACTCAGATCAATATGGGAGGAGACAATGCCAGGCAGAAGGGATCCAGATAACTAGATTACAGAGACAAGTGAGTAAAAGGTGAGAGAGCAATAGGGAAATAGAACAGATATGAACAGAGACTGGGGGCGGGGGGGGATCTTTTTGTGTGTGATAAATTCAAACAAAAATAAAATCATGTAATAAATATGTGTGTCACTCTTACTACAGCTAGCGGCTGATTGATGTATTATGAAAAGACAGTAGACACATATAATCATCTACAAACAAAAATGCACATTTTCAGTTACATGGGAATCTGTAGCCATGCCAGTGAAATACCTGAATGTTGCTCACCTTGTATTCTGTGCTCCAGTGATACCAATTGGCTTGCAATTTCCCCAAACACAGT